ATGCAAGCCTTAATGAAACAACATGGTTTGGCAGCATCAGGAGTTGACTCACCAATACTCTGTTCTCCATCTTGTCTCCTTTGATCTCCAGTTTGACTCTCTTCCGCAGTGACAGCTTCACTTTTCTTCCCACCGCATCCCTCACGCTCTCTACACAGAGGAGGAGAGAAGATGTCAAATAAGGAGTCAAATAAATAAGGAGTGACACAGACTAAAGTGAGAAAATTTGGGAAAATGCTGTTAAAGAAATTGTAATTCCCTACAACAAGAGAAGAGAAGAGAAGAGAAGAGGCGGCTTTTAATGTATATTCTTTTTCATTTGTAGTCTCTTTCCAACTTTGCTTACGCAGCAGAGAAAGATCAGTGTACATCAGCCACAGGGGAAAAATCCATCATATCTACTGATTAGGAAAAAAAATGATGAAATATTTAAGTTCCATTTTAATATAACAGAATATTGACTTTATTCTAGTTTTCATTTAATTATCAGATCATGAATCCCTCTTCTGACGACTGAGACGTTTAACGCCTACTTTCTAACACATAAAAAGAAAAGAAAAGAAAAAACATCATTTATAATATAATAATTTCAATTATTTCAATTATGCATGTGAGTATATCCATACCCGTTTGAACACAGGCCCACAGAGGCTTAATGCCGAGTGTATGTTTCCCGTTACAGACTGATTATTCACACCCAGCAGAAGTGTCAACAACCAGCGAACAGGCTCAAACAGGAGAACTGGGTCAGCCCCCTCTCCACGTTAATTCACCTAAAACACAGTCACAAATGCAGTCTGCGCACATGCGTCTGACACAGACGGGGATTCTGCATGTACATCTGTGCTGCGCATATCCTCGCCTACGGGCTTCCTCACACCATCATAAGATCAAAGGAAAAGTAATAATTAGGTACGGTGCAAAACGGTTCATCTGCCAGCCTTGAGCTTCCTAAATAAACTTCACTGCAAGTGTGCACCATTTCCTGCTGCAGCACTTTTGCAACCTCAGTGCAGAGACCTGAGAGTCACAGAAAAATCTCTGCGACTCTCAAAAGGCCACAAATGTAGGCCTTGTATGTTTTAATGGGTCTGGGCAGATTTTGGTCTCAAATCACTCGTGTCGGACTCGGATGTAATTTTTTTTTCTGCCAATTTAATGTAGCTGTGACAGGATTTCTTATTTCACAAGGCATTTGTTTTCATTTGGTAGGTAGAGCATGTGTGCTATATGCTATAGGTCACACCAGTTTAAATTGGAGGTGGTGGGGAAATGAGACACTTATGTCATTGCAAAAGTGTAAACAAACTACTGAGAGCTCCATAAATTAGTTGGCTAATTTATTAACTTAGTGTCAAACCTGATTTGTTGCTTCACAAAGCCACTAATAAATACACTCATGACACAGTAGGGGAAATAATTATTTGATCAAATGCTGGAGGAGGAGCTTGTTAATAATCTGACTGCAGGTGGGGCTGCAATTACCAAGAACACCATTAGTAACACACAACAAAGTAATGGATTGGAATTTTTCAGAGCCTACAAGGTCCCCCTGCTCAAGAAGGCATGTGTACAGGCAGATTCTTTGTGTATGGCTCAAAGAACATCATCCCCACAGTCTAGCATGGAGGTGAAAACATGCTTTCAGGCTGCTTTCCTGCTAAGGGTGCACAACGACTTCACAGCATTGAGGGGCCAATGGACAGGGCCGTGTACTGTAAAATCTTAAAAAAGGTCCTGCTTCCCTTAGTAACAGATGGGTGTCCAGCATGACAATGACCCAAAACATATCACTAATGAAACAAAGGAGTGGCTGAAGAAGATAAATACTAAGATGCTCGAGTGGCCTGGCCGGTCTCCAGATCTCAGTCCTATAGAAAATCTTTGAAGAGAGCTGAAGCTTGGAGTTAACAAGAAGCAGCCAAGAAACCTAAAGGGCTTAAAGTTTCTGTGAAGAGGAGTGTGAAAAAAATCCCTCCTGAGATTTCCATCACTGTACTGTTTCATCTATAAAGAATTAAGAAGACATCATATATCAATATAGAGACAAATAATCATTTAAGTCATTTTAGAGCCAGTTTGCTTCAAAAGTGAGCAAAATTGTTTTTCCTCTCTTCTAAATGTTTAAACTTCTGTGTGTGAGAAAATAGTGACATGAAGTAATTTTATGGAAAGAAAGAGCATTTTAAATATTTAACTCACTCTCCAAAAAGATCATAGAGATGAAGGTCAAGTTTACTACCAGCATCAGCATTGCGCTGCAAACTTTCTCCTTCTGTTTCCTAACTCTCCTTGCTGACGCAGCCTTGCCTGTCTGGTTACTTTAGGTGTGTAATCAGACGAGTAACTGTTGCCCTAACTTTGAATGTGTCTGAGCATGTTTCAGTAGAATACATTTTGAGCACGAGCTCACTTATTCTGAATATGTCCACTTCAATATTCCATCCTCAAAAGGCTGAAACTCAAAGTGTCCTGACCTAATCTGCTCACTACCAAGTAAGTTAAACGGAAAACATGAGCACAAGCACTTGACATGTCCTGTTACTCAGCAGAGAACACTCTGAGTTCATGCAACAATTTTCCATCTGCAGCATCATGCTGAAACTCCTTGCACGATGCCAAGAGTAATGCTGCATGATACTGAATCATCACCACCAACAAAGAATGGCTGGTTATACCCAGACGCAGACAGATTCCTTATATTTAGTGTGCAGAGTTGGGTGAATTAGTCAGCAAACATCAGGGAAATTTCCCATTAAGAAGAGGAGGAAAAATACCGTCTATAACAAACCCAAACACTGTAAAAACCTGCAGAAACTGTATTTAAAAGTGGTTCCAAGTCTCTGTTAAAGACATATATGTTTAACAGTTCAGGGAAAATGTAAACAAAATAGCTCAAATTAGATAAAAGGTCAAGTATGCAAGAGTTCCACTGAAATTCCTGCAATGTAAAATTACACTCTTTCTGGCTTCTGTCCTAACTGGAGGCCAGGGTACACAGAAAATAACATGTAAAAACTGTGTTAGGGATCTATAGTATAAATGATACACGGCTAACACGTGACCTGACAGCATTTTCCTAAAAGCCTCCTTGACATTCTCCACTGCTCCTGTGTCTGGCAATGAGAAAATGAACCCTGCTTGAGATGAATGATGAAGTTCATCCAACATTACACCTGGATGTCAAAACCTGACCTACTTTCTTAAACAGAAACCCTGAGCCAAGGGGTTTCCAGACTCACACAAATGAGGAAAGGGGATCATGAAAACAAGGGTTAGAGTAGAGCAGCTACCAAGAAGGCTAGAGATGCTAAAGTGGACCAGGATGACTGTGAGTTAAAATTATGTGCAGAGGACTGACAGGCTGACCACACACATCTCAACTATCTGGCTCTTCTCCCATGTAAACATTAACAGAACAAGCACCTTGTGGCAGTGCTCCGCGTATAAACATCTCCAAGCTTAACTGGAGATAAAGAATTTGCAGTCTCTTAATAACAGCAGTCTGCTTTAGGGAGAAATCTGTTTAGTATTGCTATGATATTGAAATGAATGAATTTAAAAGAAAAAAATAACCCTGTATACATATTTTTATACTGTGGTTGGATATTTGTGCCTTAGCACTGCACTCCAAGTGTGGCTGCATTATAAACACAATAGATTTTATGGTTACAATACTATCAGTAAAACTTGTTACCATGCGGAGCACATGCACGCTGTGAGTTAGGAGGATGAGAGAGAGGGTATCGGTGATTGTTCCAGCCTGGACACACAGCCACAAATCCGCTTTTGTATCTTACCCAGAAGCTCTTTTGGGACCTCCGACACTTCCTCGCTCATTTTGCTGAAGATAATATCCAAAACAACGATAAGAACTGGCTCAGCGCATCGAGAAGCCTTAAATTATGAGGGGAAATCGTGAGCGGAAAAAGAGGAAAGAGTCAGGTGGTTCCTCCGCCGCCGCTGCTGCTGCTGGGATTCTCCCGGTTACATGCTCCTCTTCTCTCGCAGTGTCCGGACAATGTATCCGCTTGTGTTTAGGCGCATCCCTTTTCAGTTTGGAGAGTGGTGAGGTAAAGGCTGATGCTAGGGAGGGAAAATCAGCTAGAGTCCTTTTAAAATCATGCTGAAACCCTGCAGCCTGAGCGCCTGGCCGAGATAAAAAGACCACCGCTTACACGCTCTCACACACACACTCTACCGTAAAGCTGTCGGTAATGGGCTACAGTAGGCTACCAGCCAATGGTGGGAAACGGGGCCCCTCCCCGGTCGGTGATGCGACAGCCTGGGAGCCGATGCGATTCCCAGAACACCGGCATGGCGTGGCAGGAGGGGGCGGCGGCGCTGGTGGTGTCAGACCGATATTAATGAGACTACAGCACCAGCTCCTGGAAGACTGGGACCTCTAGCGGTGCCAATCCCCATGTTTAACATCTGACACACAAGACTCCCGATGCAGAAGTAGCTAAAGCGCACAGCTTCGTTAGCTTTAGAGATTATGTATATATATCGCTTGGAAGTACATAAAAAATATATTAAAGCTTTGTTTGATGGTTGTTAGAGTCTTTTGAGGAAAAACAGCTATAGCATACGTCAAGAGTGGCAGGCTACATTTTATTGTGTGAAAGATTTAATTTGTAGGAAGTGGTTTTTCCAACAGTAATATAAACGGAGTGAGGGCGACACCATGTGGTAGCTCGTTGACAGTACAGATTGCTGTAGTGGTTGCACTATGTTGGATTCATATATATATATATATATATATATATATATATATATATATATATATGAAAGTGGAGTTTTGCAGCACTTTTTTTTAGTAAACTATAGTTGAAATTTGAATATTTCAGCTTTTTGAGATTGTGTCAAACAATTTGGAGAATCAGGTAGAGTGCTGTAAAAAAGTATTTGTCCTCTTTCTGATTTCTTCCACCCTTGCTAAATCATAAGTTACATGTAGTTAACAGTTTTTGGAAGGCTGACCGGTCACAGTTAGACTCTTCATAGCTGCCCATACTTCCTCTTTACTTGCACTTCCTAAATCACTGTCTTTATTTCATCTGTTCTCTCTCATTTGCAACACACTCTTCACTTCTTATCATATATTTATCCTTAACCGTCAAAACCTGCTGCAAATCATTTCCAGCCCAATCTCTCCAGTCCTCTTCTCCTTCATGCGTAGTCTCTCAGTATTCCTGTCTGCTTTCATAATCTTAATCTTTGCAAACCTCTTCCTTCAAATACTTTCCTGAACTTCCTCTTTCCACCACCAAATCTCTGATTCCCAGAAACTATACCATCTGAAGTTAAGTACAGCATATACAAACAGTAGCTTTAGCAATGGAAACTCAAGTTTATAGAGTACATATATACTTATAAAATGACAAACGATACAAAGAACATTCTGCTTTATCACATAACTTTGTAAAACAGGTATACAGTTTTTATAAATGTGTAACGGACTGCAGACTAGAGAGCATTGTTTACTTCATCTATTGTTAAGCTGCAGTTTGGGTTCTGCTGCTTAATCTCATGGAGTCTCTTCTTTAGTTTTTCTGCCATGGAGTTAAGATCTGAAGCTGTTAGCATGTCGGGAATCTTCCTCAGCTTTTCCTCTGGAGCCTTTGCCAGCCAGTCTATGATGTGATCCATGAGAGGCTCTCTGTTTGGGGAGATTGGACCTCTCTTCTGACAAGGTAAGGATGTATCTGTTGCAAGGAGACAATGGTTTAATTGGCATCTTTTTTGAATTTAGAGGTGAAGGAGTGCTGGAGAATAATCAAACAGACAAAGAGTGTGCTCACTTGGAAACAAACTTCTTGATTTTTCCTACACGCATCCTGTGTGCATGGAAGAATCCTGAGAGGAATGTCCTGAGAGTCTCACCTGAGAAAGTTTGAAATAACTTTGTAAATTTGGTTGCATTAAAAAATATTTTGTTTTTGGTAGATAACATTAATAACATACCTCCGTTTGCAAGACTCTCACAGGTGCCACACACGGTGTCAGAATAGGCTGAGCCAGTGAGGAGTACGCTCTGCCCGCTGGAGCACTCCTGATGTTTTACACACAAATCCACTGCAGAAGATGAGCTGGAAAAATATCCCTCTGGACACTTTTCACAAACGGTGTTTGTCTGCTGTGTACCTAAGAGAGGACAACAGAGGACTTCAGGTCACTACATTCATTGGAAGTGTAAAGTGAGTTAGACATACTGATGTTTTGGATAAACAGAAGAAAATGGATGGATGGTTTAGTAGTTCATATTTATTAAATGAATACTGTACCTTTAGTTTGAACCCCGTATCCGGGGCCACACTCTGTGTGCTGGATACAGAAGTCATCAGCCGAGTAAAAACCTTCTTTGCACCGACAGATCCTGTTGGTTGTCGGGAGCACTCTGTTTCCACCTCCAGGTTACCTGTGCAAAGGTCGTTGCAGTACAGACACCTGGGCAGGTAGTTCCACAGATCGGTGAAGTGGCCATTTTTGCACGGCTGACACTGTGTGGGTGTGGTGGCAGTGCAATGAGCAGACATGAACGTGCCCGGTGGACACTTGGGACATTTGAGGATTTCTCCGGTTACCGGGTCTCGGTGGTCAAAGGTGAGAACAGGATCCACCACTGAGGCACCACAGAGTGAACCAGAGAGCAGGAACAGCGCTGGCACGATAAGCTGTAGAGAGAAATGACACGTGACATTATGCGAAAAATTAAAAAAACAACAAAAAAGTACGCTCCCAATATTACACCAGAGATAAGACATACTGAGTTCCCAACAAACATGTCGACGATGAACCCGCGTGTCTTGAAGTCTTGATGTCTAGTCTTAGGTTTATGTGTTGATGTTTAAATCACGGGAATTCCCCACATCCTTACCGCGATGACGCTATCCACGCTTGGAAAACATCTGCGCACGTACAGACGTTAGGTACGGTTCATATGCGGTCGCTATTCGTTTCGCCTTTAGGTGCACCTCGTAAATTCAGCCATCTCTACTCCCAAGGACATAAGGCTGTTTAAAAGGCTTTTTGGGGTCAATATGTTCCCGTTGTTGGGATAAACACGTGTCTTTAATAACTTTGTTGTTCTTGATGCGTTGTTTTATATAATTCAGTGCTGAAATCATAACAATAAGGTAGCTTCTAAAAGTGAAACATGAAAGCTATCACAAGGGTCTTGGTAATGTGTTAAATAAAAAAAATATTATAGGATTTGTTGAATTACAAAAGTAGACTTGTTTTGAGATGAAACTTTCAGAAGTTTTGAATTATATACAACATGGCATCAAAAAGAGTAACAAAGTCATTAAAGGTATGTTTATCCAAACAAAGGAAAATTAATCCAAAACAACAACCTTATGTCTTTGGGTGTACAGATTGATGAACTTACGAGGTGCACCTGAAGGCACCATGAATAGCGACCTCATATTAAACCGTACATAACGCTGTAGATGCGCAATTGTTTTTTCAAGCGTTGATGACATGACTACAAGTGGTTGAAAAACAGTAGTGGTGTGCGGATCGATACTGACATATGGATTCCTCCAATAACAGATATTTATCCTCTGGAATTGATTTTCATATTAAAATATCCTCATTTTATCAATTTAGGGGAAATTTGCAGTTGATTATCAGGACCATTGTGTCGATTGCTGGGAACTACTTCTTCTTCCGCCTGTCATAGTTATATGCGAAACACCGCTGTTTAAATACTGAAAAACATTTCATACACAATGCAGTTAGATAATAATTTGCGTCTATAAAATGTTTCTCAGCTATAATATTTTCAGTCATACTAGTTAGTGATTGTTAATTTAATATTTTAAAATTTTGGTATTGACTTTTCAAGTTTTGTATTTCTTGTAATTCTTCATATTTAAACAACAACAACGATTAGTCTGACAAATTTTCATTAGGAAAGTCCTATTCCTATTCATTAGGAAGGTATAATTGGAAATACACTACTTTGTATGGATCCCTGTGGTCGGCATCCAGACCTGCTTCATCCCTTCCATTGGTCACTTGGCCAGCCACCTCAACTGTTTTGTTTTGGACTCTGTTTTCTTAGATTGCAGCCAGCCTTCAGAACTGTTTTCACCATGTGCTTGAACTATTGCTCTTGGGTTTTTGAGTCGGTGTATTTTTATTTTTAATGAGTGTTTTGGTATTATTATAATTTAAGTTTAACTAGTTAGTTCTAAGATCATTCTTACTATGTCTCTGAGGTTGCTTGTGATCACTTTAGTTTCTTAGGTTCCCCTTGTGTCTTTGTCCTCTGTGTCCCTCTCTGTGCGTTTGTGTGTGTCTTTGTCTTTTTTCCCTCTTGTGTTTACGTGTTCCCCTCCTTGTGTTTCCTTCCATGGCTCCCCTGTTTGTCATGTCAGTTCATGTATCTTCACCCCGGTAAGGTTGGCGATATATCGACTATCTGAGTCTATAGGCTGAGGTTATTGTCAATTGTTTTTACAAGGGAGATTTTTTTATTTATTTGCCCATGAGTAATTTTGCTAATAATGTTGGCTGATGACCTCTCCTGGACTGCAAATACCACGGCAGTGGTAAAAAAGGCCCAGCAGCGTCTCCATTTTTTGAGAGTGCTCAGGAGGAACAACCTGGAGGAGAGGCTGCTGGTGACATTCTATAGAGCCACCATAGAGAGCATCCTAACGTACGGCATAACAACATGGTATGCAGGGTGCTCAGTTGCAGATAGGAAAGTACTGCAGAGGCTCATCAACACAGCCCAGAAGATCACTGGCTGCTCTCTGCCCAGCCTGGAGGCCATTGCAAACTCTCAGTACCTCAGCAGAGCTGGCAATATCATTAAGGACTACTCTCACCCTAGTAATCAACTGTTTGAACTATTACCGTCAGGCCGACGGTACAGGTCACATAAAACCAGGACAAACAGATTCAAGGATAGCTTCTTTCCCAGAGCTATCACCGTAGTAAATAAGCACAAAACAATTGAACCTGCTTAACTATACCATACTTGCCACTGTCACTATATTATGCTGCTGTTCATACTATCATTAAATGAATGCTGCTATTCTGTGTATATCGTACTTACTATTGTTTGAGTACTTCGGTACTTTTTATATTTTATGTTTATAGTTATTATTGCATTTTGCACCAAGGGAGTGGCACTCCAATTTCGTTGTACCTTGTACAATGACAATAAAGGCTATTCAATTCAATGAAGTTAACAGAAGCAGATAATAAATAATAATAATAAATAATAGCGCTGTTTTAATGGCACCCTCCTTTAGCTGCGAGCAAATGCACCCTCCTCAGAGTGTGCCCAAATACAGCAGTGATTCATTTACTGAAACTCATAACAGAAAGAAAGAACGGCAGTAGCCTATGTTCAGAAAAAAACCCAAAAACATTTTATTTAAATAAAAAAACCACAATGGTGGGGAGGGAAACAACGAGAAACTGGCTTCTTTTTTCCACTATAATGGTGTTTACTGGCCGTTCCAGTGTTTATCTGTCTTACACACTCGACCAAACAACAAATAAGTTAAAAATCAAAATGTCTCTTCCAGTGAATATAAAAAAAAAATTTGTGCGATTTGGCGCATCTCAAATAAATAAATAAATGAATGAATGAAAATATTCCCTACAAACAAAACTTATAAACTCTTTGACAGGAAAACAAGCATGTTTACTTTAACAGGTTTTAGCAGTGATAACAATATTACCAGCAGTGCTGAAAACGTGTTCTGAAGGTGTGCTTGTGGCTTGTATACACAGATATTTCCGTGTCATGTGTGGCATCAATGGGGAACGTTTTTCATGCATTTTCCACCAAACCAGTGGATTGTCTTCTCCGTCTACAACCTCCTCGCTAAGGTAACAGTCCACTTCTATCTATGCCTTCTCCTCCAGTGTACAATTTGGCAATTAGTTCGTCCATGTTTGGACGTCTTCTGTGTTCTAAACGCAATTCAGTTTGTGCATGTTTACACTGCTCCGCCCATCAAAAGTCTCATGCGTGAATACATCGCCTATTGACGGTTATTGGAGTGATGATTTTTGGTTGGAAAATTCTTGCTCCCCGACCCATTATCTCCCTCTATGTCCCTTGTTTCCTCTTTGTCCCTCTCTCCGTGTCCCAGTCATGTCATTGTTTTCGTCTCCCGATTCTGTTCCCATGTCTGTTTCTTCCCTGGTCCCAGTGTCAAGTCCATGTGTCTTAGTCTGCATGTTTCCTGTTTTATTTTGACAGTCTCTACTCTCGTGTTCAGTGTGTTCTCTTTTGCTTCCTCCTGCCTCGTCACGTATTAACTTTTTACAGCTGTAAACTTTTGCAAAACTTTTGCGAGATCCCGAGTTTGTTTTGCGAGATCTCGCAAAACTTTTGAGCTGGACGAAGGCAACGCTTGTTTGCCAATCCTTGCCTTGACATCTGCATCGGTTCAACCTTGCTGGTCGATGATGCTGCCTAGGTAGGTAAAAGAGTGTTCTTCCTCCAGAGGACTCCCACTAAGGTGATTGGGTTGTTATTATTGGACTTGATCTTAAGGATTCTGGTCTTCTCCTTGTTGATGATGAGTCCAACCCTTAGCTTACAATAAGGTCGTCATGTGACATTATTTTTTGCCATATTATGAAAGGGGCTGCGGTAGGCTACCTGCTATTTAAAAGCTGCATGAAATCCTCTGCAGGTTAGCGCAGGATAAACAGGTAAATCTGCACTACTGTGATGAGTTTAAACTAAAGAGCAGTGTGTTGGACTGGTGCACAGGGACGGGTGCACACCTTAACTGCTTCCCTACTTACTTTGCTGTTTAGACGCAAAGAAACCCACTATAATGTAAACAACAGAAGAGTTTTTATTTTCCTTCTTTTTCTCTGCTCATGTTCTACTTACCTGGTTACCTTTGTTAGATTTCAAATTTAGACTGAAGTAAAGTTTGTATTCCTACAGTGATTATTTTATTATTACATTAATGTAGCACAAGGTTCAGTAAGGTTTGGAAAAAAATAGGTGGTAGAAGGTTGTTCAAGGAGCTAGTTTTTACTTTATTACTTTTCAAAGTACATTTCAGAGCCTGTACTTTTTTGCTTTTATTTGAGTAAAGATCTTTCATTCGAAAATAGAAAATTGAACCCACACTAAAATAAGGAAAAATAAATATACACTTGTTGGGTTATTTAACTTGAGTGGTGCTTAGGGGTCTGCGATATGTTGAGTATACTTGATGTAATGCAAGTTTTTCCACATACAATGGTTAAGAAGGCTTTATTGTAACATTCGAGTATAAGAGATAAGAGATAAGATAAGATAAAACTTTATTAATCCCTTGGGTGGGTTCCTCTGGGAAATTCGATTTCCAAAAAGCACAGCACCGACAGAAGTTACAGAGTTACAGAATATTATACACACACACACACACACACACACACACACACACACACACACACACACACACACACACACACACACACACACACATATAAATACAGAAACATATATAAATAAAATATACGAAGGGGATAAATAGAATAAATAGGAATAAAATAAAAATAAAAAATACAAGTGAATTGCACATTTCAAGTATTGAGGTCTATTGCACCGTTGACTATTAACAAAAGTATTGCACAATGAAGTGAAGAGGCACTACAGCTTAGTTGTTCCCCCCTCCTTTGTCCTCCTGTTTCCCCTCCCTCCCTTTAACGCCATCAGTTAAACAGTCTGATGGCGTGTGGGACAAAGGAGTTTTTAAGTCTGTTGGTTCTTGTCTTTGGGAGAAGCAACCTGTCACTGAACAGACTCTTCTGGTTGTTAATGGCCGTGTGCAGAGGATGCCCAGCATTGTCCATAATGTCCAGCAGTTTTTTTTAGTCTCCTTTTCTCTGCCACTGACACCAGAGTGTCCAGCTTCATGCCGACCACAGAGCTAGCCTTCCTGATCAGTTTCTCCAGCCTGGATGAGTCCTTCTTTGCTGTG